GGCAGCTCCCCTGGCAGCTCCCCTGGCAGCTCCCCGCTCGAGGAGGGCTGACACCTGCCTCGGTGATCCCAAGGGTCTCTTCCAACCGGAATAGTTGTATGATTCCATGAAGGAAGGGGTCGCGTTGTCGCCGTCGCGGGGCGAGCGAGGGGCCTGGCACGGCCGGAGGGGTACGCGCCGCAGGTCCTCGCACCTCTCTCCAGCAGGTGAAAGAGCCTTTTTCTCTCTCTGAGGCACCGTTCTGCCCAGGGGAGGCTGAGGGAGCATCCCCGTGCAGCGTGGCCGCGGCTGGGACCATGGCTAGCAAAAGGGGTTGGGGTGTCGAGGCTGCTTGGCATGCGAAGACTGCTGCAAGAAGTGTGCCTGCCCCCTAAACGGTTATATCTGTCTGTTTTTAAAAAGGGTGGCAAAGTAGGAAAAAACACACCACACAACCAGGCCGTATTTATCAATGTAATAGGAGGCAACCATAGCAACCTGTGCCTTTTCAGGCTCTGTATAGGCATGATGGTAACGGGATTTGGGAGGGATGTGAAGGAAACCAGCTGTGTTGCCGTGTTCTTCATCATCATGAGCATAAGGAGCAGCTTAACTGAAAACATGTAAGTGAAAGCTTAGAAATGTGTTGAGTGAGCAATGAATCCTGGCAGCCAAGGCCAGCTGGGGTCATTCTTTACATTGAATGGAAAAGGAACAGGTAAAGTGAACAAGTACCTGAAAAGGTAATCCAAGCAATTAATAAATTATAGTAAAGGAACTGTCTTTGAATGACCAGAAAGATGCAGCACTGGCGTGCTGAATGATGGGAACCAGAAAATACTGCATTAGCCAGTCCAGGGAAATTACGTGGGAAACGTGGGTTCCTGGGATTTCTGTGGAGGCAGTAGAAAATGAAGCCTGCAATGAAAAGATACGGCACAAAGGTGCTGATGCTGGGGTTTAGAAATCACTGGGTATCGAGGCAAATGTTGTGAGATAACTGAAATACGAAGTTGTCTTGGAGAGCAATTACTGCGACATACAAGGATTCTGCGGGTGCTTTGCCACAAAGAATTTCCTGTGATGGACCCCAGACGACCGATTAACACTGGCCTCTTGTAAAAGGTGGCTTGTGCCACCCTGAGTACTGCTGCTGGCCTGTTTTTCAAGTCCCTCTGAAAACCTGAGGCAATTTGCCTCAGTAGATGGTGCTGTATCCCAAAGGGCTGATCTTCACAGGAACGCACATCCGTGCCTCTTAACAAACCAACAGTACCTAGAAACTTCAGAGGAACTTGAGTGACTGGAAATGAGACTTTGCATATCTCTACTATTTGGATAGCAGAGGGTGGACTGAGCATAACATTAGCAGTCTGAATTAGTGTTTCAGCCATCCAAACAAACTGAGTCAGAGAAAACAGTAAGAAAAAGGAAGTATAGTCATTTGCTGAAGGGGAAGATTACAGAACTATGTAAAGATAAAGCTTTAACCACTGGGAGATTAAGCAGGGCGTAGCTGATCAGCCAGTTTATGAAGAGTGTTCAGTCTAAAATTCATGAGAACTCAACACTATGCACTCCCTGCTAGGTGGAGGTTTAGTGTAAGGAAGGAAGTTCTTCAGACCCTCTCTGCACCCATGGTGGAAGGCCATAGAGAACCATAGCAAGGAACCACACCACAGCAAGCATGATGATGTGTATGTTACTGCAATTTTAGATGTTTACAATATCAAATCTTATTTTACTGTTTGGGAGAAGACTTATATTTACACTTCAAATATTCTGATATTTAATGGGTTGAACATTTAAAAAAAGTCTGAAAGTCCAAATGACTTATAGTTGAATGAACGTAACTTTTTAACTTCAGAAAGAATATAGATGCCTCAGAGGTCTTTAGTGTGCATAATCTTATCTTTATAGAGAAAAGCTTGGTGTATGCAAAACAGTAAGAGGTGGTGGCAAGTTTAAAGCAATTCTGAAAATTACATATGTCCCTGCAACCTAAAAAAAAAGGAAGGTTAACGATTTACTACTCATCACTGACAGGTGAACATTTAGATAGTAATCTCATTTACAGTAAAATTAAGGAGAAAGTAGGTGAGACTACAGAGTTGGCAGACAGGATCCCAAGTAAAGGAAGTGTCTGCTCTCATGGCTATAGGACCAAGAGTATTCTTAAGTGGGAAAGGGGAAAGCTTTGCTGCTAACTCATCAAGCTGCCTGCTTACTTCTCATGTGTCAGTTCCACTTGTGTGAACAGCAGCAGTTAGTAACAGCAAACAAAGGGGGGAAACACTGTATGAGCACAGCAAAGTTGGGCAGGAAGAGTGTCCAGCGGTACCAGGGTACAGGGGCTGAGGTAATGTCTGCCAAGCCCTGCTTAGTACATCAGTCGAAGTTTGTTTCCTATGAGTAATGCTGAGGTGCATGTTTAGATCCCTTCCTAGGATGCTTCTAGCAAATGTACACCTGAATTATGGTGTCTCTAGATTTTGCTGTTTGATATTCAGAGACAAGAGACAGTCATGGATGTTGTATTAACAGAGTTCTGTGGGGTAACTTGAGAGTGCCTAGAGATGGAAGAGCTACTTTTATGTAATTTCTTCCTTGATGCTTTTAGGAAAAAAATGGTGAGTTCAGATGATTCTGGGCTGTCACATAGCATCTTCAGGCTGATAGGCTAATGAAGACATGGGACTTCTGAGTCTTTAGACTCAGATGCCTTACTTAAATATGCCTTTGTATTCAAAAAGAATTTGTGGATTCCTAATGACTACCTTCTGCCTTTCAATGGAAAAGTTAGTAAGGAGATAAAGGAGACACTGTCGTGTTTGGATAGCATTTGTATTTTTTGCTGTAACCTGAAGAAACATATTCTGATTTAGGAAGGTATATGCCTGACTGCAAAGGCAGGGAAATGTGAAAAGATGCTGGAAACAGCTTATTTAGGAAACAATACAGATAGCTTTTCAAACATAGCAGCAGATCAAGTCCTTTACTGAGATGGTGACACATGTCGAAAAGTATTCTAGTTCTGTTCCTGTTACTGAGCATTATAAAAATTTTGTCAAACAATGGAATAGTCTCTTAACTCTGGAACATATATTAACAAAGCAGCTGAAGCTTGTTAATCTTTTGACAGGCAATTTATGGTCTTTTAAGATAATGCTGAAAGAATATCTGGGACAATTCTAATGCAAGTGAACGCTAAGAGAAGGAAATGCTCAGTTTCTACTTGAAAACAGTTCTTGGCTTCTTTTCTGATCTAGTGCGTCAGTGTAGTAAGAGAAAGGGAAAAGAGTGATCAACACGAGAAGGAACTGCAGTGACTGAGAACTGTGCCACTGCCAGGTTCTTGCAGAGCTGTGTTCGAGTTTGGGGTGACAGTTGTGACTGTGTTTTGGTTGTATCATGCCAAATTCTAAAGATGAAGTGTAAGCTTTCAAGGGTATAATACAGAAGTAATATGTTTTGTTTCTTGTTATCATTAGAAATAGTCCTAGGCATATAGATGAATTGCAGTTGATTTCCAGAAAATGTGTTAGATGGGAGAAGAGATCTTGTTCAGTTGATTATATTTTTCCCCCAAAGAAAGTGTAGGAATACATATTTGTGTGAACAATCTGTGAGATTTGACTCACCCACTCAGGCTGCATTGTTCTACATTGAGTGGGTTAACCAGTCTTAGGGGAGAGAGATGCAGTAGGTTTTTTATACAGCTGCTGGAGTTTGTAAGAGCTTTAAGTTGAAACACAACAGATTGTGAGATCTGCTTTATGGACTTAAGTAGCTAAGGTAGCAGTTGGACACATCAAAGTCCATTAGTGACTTTCCAAAAGATGGAACTATTGCTTCAATGAGATAGTTTGCCTCAAATTCCTGGTATTTTCTTTATTTGATTAAGATATGCTTTGTTTCAGTTTACAAGTACATTCTACTCAAGTAGATATCAATTGATATAGCTTATTTTGGAAAGATTTCTGGGGACCTGCAAGTATTTCTTCTGAGGATGTACTAATTTTGGTATATTACCATGGAGGTAAACTCCTTGTCTCACTCAAAGATCTTTTCTGAAAACTCAGGAAGCTGTAGGTGTCCTTCTAATGAAGAAGCTATACCTAAGGGTAGTTTATAGCAATCATAAAGAAGCCTTGCACAAAAGCCCTTTAAATCCCTTACAATCATGCAAAGGTGAAAGTCTGAACAAGGTTTTTAGAGATGTGCATGAAAGCTGCACCTTAGACACACACCAAAAATGCAGAACAGTTAGGATGATTATATTTTCACAGAATTGTTACGGTTGGAAAACAATGCTAAGATCACCACGTCCAATCATCAACCACCACCTCTTTGCCCAAGGATAAAAAAAGCCAAAACAACAAAGCACCCAGTAGAGCACGTCCTGAAGGACCTCATCTACAGATTTTTAAAATATCTTCAGGGATGGTGACTCCACCACCTCCCTGGGCAGCCCATTCCAGTGCCTGACTACTCTTTCAGTAAAGAAATTCTTCCCAGTATCTAGTCTAACCCCCCTCGGTGCAACTTCAGGACATATCCTCTGTTCCTGTTATTCACTTGGGAGAAGAGACCAACGCTACGACACTACAACCTCCTTTCAGCTAGTGTAGTTGTAGAGAGCAATGAGGTGTCCCCTCACCCTCCTCTTTTCCAAACTAATCAATTCCAATTCCGTCAGTTTCTCCTCAGAGGGGTTGTTCTCCAGCCCATTAACCAGCTTGGTCACCCTTCTCTGTACTTGCTAAAGCAACTCAATGTCTTTCTTGTAGCGAGGAGCCCAGAACTTCACACATAGCGCTCAAGATGCGGCCTCACCAGTGCTGAGTGCAGGGGCACTCCTGCTTGCCATAGGACTGGACTGTGAGAAAAGGAGCAGCAGAGATGGAGCACAGAAATGAATTCTATTTTAGCTGCATTCAGCTTAAGTTGATTGCTAGGCATCTAGTAGTTAAGAATTGATTTGGGGAAAAAAGAAAGTACATATTTCTTCTTCATTTCATTAAGATTCTCAAGGCAAACTTTAAATGAGAGGAAGTATAGCCTATTCCAAGAAATAAATGACTTTTTAAGACCTTCCCAAAACTCTCTTGGAGCCAAATATGACAGTGCATTTTTATTCATATCCTCCTGATGCACATTTGCTGTTATATTTCTGAGCTGCTACAAATGCTGTAGATAGAAATAATCTTGGGGAAATAACACTATTGTTTGTATCTATAGCTCCTGAGTAGCCAACTGTATGCCTATCACAACATTTTCTCTGTTGTGCATTTGGTCTGGGAGTATGCACAGGATCAA